ATCAAGAAGCTAGAGTCGTTCTCGGCTATCGCCTCGCGCGACTCTTAAGCTTATTTCGTGCTTAGCAACCTCCCGCGGGCATCCATAACTTAATAGTGAACGCTGTGGTGTTAAAGAAACTGTGACCAAGAGTAACATGGATAAGTTCAGCGCTTGCTTATTATTTAGGACACAAACTGAGATATTCGAGAGCTTTGTGAAAATTTGTTATTGACTGTAGATGATGTGATGGAGAGTAATCTAACTATGGATATGACATAGACATTAATACCTGCACAGCACGAAGTTCTCCCGTCCAAGGACACCCGACGTGAGGACATTTAACTGTAAAATCCAGAATTTTACGATGACAAGCGGCATCTGGAAAGATCTGTCAACACCAACACAGACATTATAGATATCTAAGGTCAATATAGTTAATATAGTATCAGGTTACATCGATGTCAAGATAATTCTGTTTAAAAGTCATGGTTTTACGCACCAAAACGACGACATAAAATACTTGTGATAACGTAGGAACAGAGCGAGATCTTGAGCGGGAAAATAGAAAGTGAAAGAAATTCCCTTAGTTTTAGCGAGAAGTAATAAAATGAAGTAGCAGCATTTAAATGGACTGGCATTAGTAGAATGAAATTAAAGTGCATTATTATAGGGTTGTGTCTCACAAGGACTGGGAACTACCGAATTCATGAATTTGATTGGCTGAAATTAATATTGAAAGCGGTCTAGATTTACCCATCTAGACCGGCATCTAGACCGGTCTAGAAAAAAAAGGTACAAAGAATATGAAAAATTGGCATCTAAGACACAGCCATATAATAAACATCTCATTAACCGAGCTAGGTCATGTGGGAGGATCTTGACCTCGGTCGCTGGTACAGACCTCACTGCGTTCCGTCTGTACTGGCGACCTCGGTCAAGATTCTCCCATACAGGCCTTCCGCTCGGTTAATAAGAGCTAAGTAAAAGAAGGTGAGTTTTGATAAGGCATCAGCGATTCACGAATTCTCCGGCCCCTAAGCAGAATGCTAGAGGTAAAATTCTATGGCTGGTGCATATTTTCTTAGTCAGACATGAGGTCCATAAGCCGTACACTCTCCTTGTAATAACCGCTATTCTCTTTATATGGAATCCTGATTAATAACAGTGAGTGGAACATTGACTCTTTAGTTAGAATTACCTTGTCACGCGACAGGAGTTCTCTGTCAATGGGACATTTCGGAGAATGGCTCCTGAGGTAAGGGAAAATGCAAACGCAAACAAGCAGTCAAAAGCAAAAACTTAGGACCCCCCCCATGTTTTATGAGCTTTCATTTCTTCGATTCCGTCATCCTCGGAGACCCAGGGGCTGTGAGTCAATTTCAACGGTTAGGGCAGAAGAGCCCTAGGAACATTGTCTTACAAGACTAGTTCCATACGGTCGCAGTCGTTCTGGCATCTGATTAGTACCTGAAAATATTTGTGTTTTTCTGCCCAATCAGAGTGAAGTGTGCTTTGGAGTCCTTTCGTGTGTTTTAAGGTGGTTGAACACAGTTTTCGCGCGCGCTTTTGCTGATACAATTCAGCGCGTACACAAGGATCGCAAAAAACAAACATGCCGTCAATAGAGCGGTTATTTTAATTACTCAACACGTACCCGCACTATCTTTGCTATTTTTCTCTAAAGTTGGCGTAGCGTATTGAGGGCTTTAATCTTTATTATAAAGATATGTTGGAAAAGTGAACGGTGCAAAGAACCCAGCAATTCTCAGCTTTTTCGTCGTTACCGAAAGAACCCAGTTAAATGCAGTGCATGCGTGGTAAGTAAAAAAATTGCGATTGAATGGAAAATTGCTTTCTCGGAAATATGCCTATTTCTTGGAAACCACTCATTAGAATCTCACGAAATTTGGCACGCAAGTAATATATTGAATATCTGGCACGGAAATAAGTAACTGGAGTATTGAAAAAAAATTGATTTTAAACAAAGTAAATGCTAGAAAATCCAGAGAACCTTCTACAAGGGATGATTGAAGATCTCTCGGCTAAATTGTTAACAAAATGGTGTTAACCTGTTGGTATCGTTACAAGCCCGTTGCATGCAAATTATAAGGAAAAGCTAATGACTATATGTTCTACAAAGAAACAAAACCGATTTTAATTGCCTGTTTATATATAATCATGTCGCCACGGCAACGCCACACACGTCAGCTCAACTATCAAAAAATCAAAGTTTGTGTTGTTAACTTCCTTGCTGCCAGTTTTGGTGACCAAAAGATCAAGGGTTTTAGAGAAAATGGTGAAAGAAACAAAGATATCAAAAACTGTGTTCAGCCACCTTAACACGGACATAATTATACAAGTAACTCTGTTGCTCGCCATGTTGTTTTATACGAACTTCGCAAACTTTTAAACATGTTCTCTTGTGATACCTGCGAAAGTATTCAGTATAATTTCCGGTGAGATTTTTGCGGACAATCTGATCGATTTCTCTTACATTGTGTGTTGAGACTGAAATTTTTCACCTCGAGCAAAGCTCCGTTGTACGGCCCAAACAAACATGGCGAGCAACTAAGCTTCTTGAATGGACTCTAAAGCACACTTCACTCTGATTGGGCAGAAAAACACAAAGATTTTCTGGCACCAATCAGATGCCAGAACGACTACGACCGTTTGGAACTAGTCTTGTAAGACAATGTCCCCAGGGGCTCTTCTGCCCTAACTCGGAAATCGACTCACAGCCCCTGGGTCTCCGAGGATGCGTTTCCGTTTGTCACTGAGCCATATTCATTGTTGCGTGATGAACCCTTTGTGGTAAATTTGCATATAAAAACAGAAATCATATTCAGGCGATTCAACGTAACGGAAGCAAACTAGAATAGACCACTTTCATAAATGGCTGCTGGATTAATATTCCTTTGTTTAAATTTAAATTTGCCTAGGTGGCCTCGTTCTCCAGTACAAAATTCAAAAGAATACATTATCTCAAGCGAGGCCACCCAGGCAAATTTAAATCTAACCAAAAGAATATTAATCCGGCAGCCATTTATGAAAGTGGTCTATGACCATATTTTTCGATACGTTTGTCTGATGTGTCAGTGATTGTACATTTGACGACTAAATGATAACACAGCTACCAATTATTAAATAAAATGTATCATAGTTCTCTTTCGCTAATCGTATATAAGTTCGCGTACAAGTTTGGTCTGACCAGGAATCGGTTTGTTTTTCTGTTCGCCCGAGGCTAGCCAGCAGATAACTACAGCCAAAGAAAAGTTATATACTCCATGGAAAGTGATTTATCCGGTCCAGACGTTATTCAGCTTTCAAACAAACGAAGCTTTGGTGAAAGTTGATCGTTCTATAACTTATTGCAATATTCAATAATCCGCCCTTACCTCAACAAGCTCTCTGAGCAGATCTTACAAAGTCTGTGGCCACATCCTACAATCTGTATGGGATCTTTCATTGTTAACTGACACACGGGACAATCAAAATCGTCAGGAACTTCACTTGTAAACTCGAAATCATAGCCGCCTAATTCTGGAACATTCTGGCCAGCCGCCATTATGATTTGGTTTTAAAACGAAAGCGGAAGAGATGCGTGACGATTACAGAAACAAACCTACTTCCCAGGCTTTCTGGGACTCAAAGTAAGCCTTTTGATAAACAATATTTGTGAGGCAAAACACGCATTAACAAATCGATCAGTGAACAACAACATATGCGGGTGATGGAAAAGCACTGCAGTCAATATGTTCCGTGCACTAACTGGCTCAGCGTACAGGATCAAAGGGAAACAAGAAAATTTGAATTTTCAAAAACAAAGAATTTCGAAAATGAGTAGAACACTAAACCGTTGGAAGAATAATACCCCGGAGCAAAGTGTACCATATCAACAGCTAAAAACGCTTCTAAAGACCTGCTGGAGAGTTGTAAGGATTAAAAGTAATTTAATTTGTAACGGTTATTCCGGTTTTTACTGTGAAAAAGATGAGTCTCCGACTTTGCCATTTACCCGTCTGGCATGATGTATAACGTTGGGGCGAGGCACACCCACAGGCTACATCACGGACTGCTGTTCTAAAGGGTGTAGGTGAAGAGAACTTTCTGTGTTGAATTTTTTGCTCATTGCAAATATCCCAGGGAAATCAGTCGAGAGTAGAAGAAGTATCTTTAAAAGCTCTTAAATTGAATTAATTCTTCCAAAGACAGGATCCAGTGTAATTCATAAATTCATCAGCAATAGCCTTTACGTTACTTGCTTCGCTGGCACAAAAGTAGCCACGAACATTAGAAATAAATAAGTCAAATGCCTTTTAGTCATAAGACACATTTTTAATTTGTGTTCTGACAAATATGTCCAGTGGAACAGACGCAAAAGAAGGCCAGTGTTTGTCATTTGTATTTCAGTTTGTGACAATTAAAAAAGCTACGAAATCAAAGCAATCCTCGAATGAGACTACATACATACAAACATATACCTTATTTATGCTCGAAAATTACCAAGTAGCTGTATAGCTAATATCTTGGAGAAAATAAGCTAAAGTAAAATAAAATCTGCTATTGCAATTCCAATATTATTCATAAACTATGTACAACATTAAGCATGCAGAGGGAAATATAACTCACCTAAAAGATCTACTGTGGAACTAATATCGATATCTTGGAGAAAATAAGAGAAAAGAAAATAAGATATGCTATATTACAATAAATGACCTCAGATGGCATTTACAAGCGAAGACACATATGAGCTGTAGATTTTCCACTAAGATATTGTTATAAATAACTGCCAATGGAGGGGGAGGAGGGAATGGGACAGGAAATGAGGTAAATTTAATGTCACATAACCCAATCCTGCGACCAGGCGAGGAATCAAGACCGGTCCCTTATTGGCAATTTGTGTTTCGAAAAATGAAAATATGTCCACCTATTTCCTCCCAGTTACAAGTGATATAATGCGGTCTCGGCTTTTTGAAATTGTCATTAGTTTACACAATATCTAACGGAATTTTTAAATTGAAAACATCTACACACATGACACTTGAATGACAAACAAAAGTAAAGATTAACGAATTGCTAAAATGTTCACTTGATGCTTTTTTGAACAAACGTCTGGAAGTTAGGGATATATAGTATCTACTTTAATACAATACTTTCGTAAATTCTATGAATTTACAAACTGATGGTAGACCAAGTTGTAGTTACTGTGACTAGTCGACGAAGTGACCTTTGAGCAGTAGACCAACATCACAAAAGAAGCCGAGAAAACAGGAGCCACGTTCTTGTCATCGTTATCTGTAGCACTCGAAAACCCCTCCAAATGAGACAAAGATGCCTCCACCAGGTGCACTGAGGGTTTATAAAACAAATAAAAAAGATCATTTGTCAAATTTTAAATAACCTATCGATAACAAATCTGTATATATGATTTAATGGAGACGTTACAGAATTGATAGTTCTTTTTATAACATTAGACATGCTACGTCATCTGTCAGTCTATGTCAAATGGCAAATACATCAAATACGAAATATTTCAGTCACTAAAACTCTCTTAACCCTTTAATTGCCATGAGTGACCAAAACAGAATTTCTCCTTACAATTTCAACTCGAAATCAAGCAGACACGTGATGAGAATAAATGAAAGTGTCAATTAGGGGATTATTAGTTGATCAAATACCAAATTCTTCCATCCAACATCATAAGAATTGTATGGTAGACAGTAAGGAGAATTGCTACTGAGATCTTGGCAGTGAAAGAGTTAATCGTCAGTTGTCAGCACTCGACAACTTGACCAAACCCGATGGGGATGCATACCTCTAACTGGTGTACTAAGGGTTCATACAACAAACAAGAAAGATCCTTATAGACATTCTTTACGAAACCAGCGCAAAAAATTTGTGTAACAGGATGCAGTGGTCGAGCGAGTACGAACGGAGAAGATTCAAGGATATCCAAAGTAATTTATGGTAAATACAAACTAACAGCTGAACAGCTGGCAAATCACACGAGACAGAAACCCAAAATAAAGTAGACGGCAGTAAATAGTATAAAATAAACGGGAACAACTAACAGATGTTACCTAAAAAAATGATACAAAATAATCCAATGTTTTACACACAATAAAGGAAACATAAACAGAAAAGGCGTGTGACGGATGTGACTTATGGTCACACGACTGAAACTCGAGAGCTACTGACAAAATTACTCGACGCGTGTGGCACAAACGAATCGCGTGATCGACAAACTGAACGGCTGAGAACGATGACAAACGCTACATCAAAAACGTGTAAGCCGACTACAGCTAAACAACAAACGTTTAAGCCTGAGAGGTGATGACTAGTTGTTTAATATTTGTGTAACTTTGTCGGACGCCATTAAATACTCGGGCCTATAGTTCGAGCTGCACACCCACCCTTGTGTATGAGTCGTGAATTTAAATAGGAAAACTACATTCAAGCTACTGTTAAAAATATTCCTAAAAATCATACCCCGCTCAATCAAAAATTTCTAATAAAAAAAACAAAATATATAGAAATTATATATCGAGTGACTGTCACATGTGCATAAGTAAACAGAAAGGTTACAGAATTAATTCTATCCTTATCAATATATCAAGTGCCATAGATGTCTGATTACGTCAAATGGCGTAATCATCAAATAAGAATTTCT